ATGACCATGTGACATCTAGTGGGTGAGTCATATCAGCGCACACAGCTGGTACCAGTAAATTAGAATGGGAAAGTCAGAATGTTGGTTCCTGTGTCATGGTGATGAGGAAGAATAAAATATTGCGGACGTTTCTGTAAAGCAATGTTAAGTTGAAATTCATATTTCGTAAATAGATTTCAAACGTTGAATTCTTACTTCATGTTTAAGTTCCGACATACAAGAAATTATGTTTGCGACTGTTCGATACAGGGACGTTGATTCAGTACAAACTAATCAGGTGACGTCACTCTAGTGCACCGGAAATATACGGACGAGGTCAGTGATATCGAGGACCTTTTTCCTTTCAGTACATAGCTGATTTCTATTTTTGAAAACATCACCTACACGATTATAAAGTTTTAGTACATTAATCCCTGGATACATTGACAATGTCGTCTTCTTCACTATTCGAAAGCAGTATGACAGGAAGTATGTTAGTAACCGCAGACTGAATTTTTCTAAAGCATTAAGACCTTTGCTTATGTAATATAATCCAATAACTGCAGTTTTTGTGAAAGATTGAAGATTATGTGTCAAAACCCTTCACCCAAATCGACCAAACAGATATTTCATGAGTCACTTTATGTTGACTCACGTGGAACAGAATATAATCATTAAATTACTAATCACTGTTATTACCCGGTAGTTTTCACTGCAATGTCATATATCAGACAGTTTACATAAGTTTTATATATATATCCTCCAAAGAAACACTAAGAAGTGGACATGTAGATATCACTTGACTGTCTTTCCACATTTGCCAGCTTTTGACAAGCTGAAGTGTGAGCGTGACCACATGAATGATTGTCAATAATTCCGAACTACACAGTTTACATCAGGTTTGACTCTTGACCTTGAGAAACTGAAGAGGACAAAATAATAATTTCTCTCATCTCTTTTTGGTCTGTTTCAGAATATTATTTAAAGAGCCTGCAGCATATATGAAACACAGTTTCTCCATTACATGTTATCTTGGATCTCACAGTGAGTGACTTTTGTATTGGGCCAATTTGGACAGTAGGAAGTGCTTTAATGTCATAAAGGAATGTGACAACTCCTTTTCAGTGAACATGATAACATAAAGTTGATAATGGAAATACAAAGCCAACCACAGAATCCTGGCTCTGTTGCTGAAATATGTGTGATCATGGACTGTGAGAAGGAAATGCTGGAAACAGGTGATCTCAAGGAACACTGTGTTCCTGACACGCTGGAAACAGGTGATCTCAAGCAACACAAAGATCATGGTGGTCCATCAAAGCAGTGTTGTAAGTGTGGGGAAACATTAATTAAATCAGGTAACATGATAAGGCACATGCTTTGTCACAGTGAAGTCGAGCCTTATCAGAGTGTTGATTGTGGGAAAATATTTACAGAATCAAGTACTCTGCAGAGACACATGAGGATTCACAGTGGAGTAAAGCCATATCAGTGCTTTGTGTGTGAGAAAACATTTACACAATCTAGTGACCTGCAGAAACACATGCAGATTCACACTGGAATCAAGCCTTATCAGTGTGTTGAATGTGGGAAAAGATTTTCACGCTCATCGAATCTACAGAAACACATGAGGTTTCACAGTGGAGTCAAGCCATATCAGTGCTTTGTGTGTGAGAAAACATTTACACAATCAAGTGACCTGCAGAAACACATGCAGATTCACACTGGAATCAAGCCATTTCAGTGTGTTGAATGTGGGAAAAGATTTTCACGCTCATCGAATCTGCAGACACACATGAGGATTCACAGTGGAGTCAAGCCTTATCAGTGCATTGTGTGTGAGAAAAGATTTACAAGTTCAGGTAATCTGCAGAGACACATGAGGATTCACAGTGGAATCAAGCCTTATGAATGCAATGTGTGTGAGAAAACATTTACATTATCAGATACTCTACAGAAACACATGAGGATTCACACTGGAATCAAGCCCTATCAGTGCATTGTGTGTGAGAAGGTGTTTTCACAATCGTATAGCCTGAAGTCACACATGAGGATTCACAGTGAAATCAGTTGATCGAATTGTGTGGATTGTAATCTCATTCGTGAATGAGTGTGCATAACAACTGATAAATGATAAATCAATTGGCGTGTTATCTCGTGATGCTTTTATTGAAGCATGGGCTACTGACACCTAGAGATTGGTGAGATCTGCTCTACATAACTACAGATATAGTGGAATCAAGACGTCCTCCATATATATACAAATTATTATTATTTTTAAAGATATTTCTTTAAGGAGATAGGTAACTCAGATTTTGATACTAATCCATCATCAAGACATTTTTCAGTGAGTTACACTATTATTACTTTCATGGTCTCCACATGGGAAAAAGTTGTGAAAGTGCATCAAGCTATGATTTACAAGTGTGTAATTTATCTGCAAGCATTTGGGGCCTTTGACCTTCACTAATTGGATGAAGATGTCGTTGTAGAAATCATTTACCAAAATCAGACAAAATACCTTCTGGTATTCTGTTTTTGTGATTTTTTTTCCATATTGATGTTTGCCAATTTCATTGTCAATTCAGGAGATTTAATCTTTACATTTGTCAGCCTTTTGTGATAAAGGCTATATTCAAGCTTGCGTAGATACACTCTGAAGTTGTTTAACATTTATGATAGGCATTTTAGTTGCCTGAAAAATGAGGGTCAATTCTGGATTCTATGAACTGAAATTTATTCTGTGGCGTTTGAATAAACTGTTACTAATTCTTTCTGAATAAAATATTGTTTAAATCAAGATGAATCTTTAGCATGTTTAGTAGAATGATGAACAACATGCTAGACAACATCAGCTCCCTTGTTTGTCACACTTCATAACGGCACTTATCCGTAAGAGTAACAGATGTGCATATGATCTTCTGATAGGTAGAAAGATAGGCTACAGATGAGACAACTGGTTGGTCACACTGCAGTACGACACCTTGCCAGGCTGGGTTGTTTATATCTATGTTTTAAAATCGGATAGAAATAAAACATCTCACCCAATTGTCATTCATAATATGAAAATTATTTGACACAATTGAAACTTTTTCGACAGAATTTAAAACTTAATATAAAGGTATGAAGCAATTGTTTATATTATTCTAAACGAGATTACTTCATGAATCCCTTGTCACCTGGTAAATCGTTAGACGTCAATGTTCTGTCAATCAAAAGACAAAAAACTATTCCAGGACAAAGACCATTTCTTCTACAAATGCAGATATATTTGATTAAAATGTGATCCAGTTTGCATGGTTTGAGGAAATAATGAATTCAGTTTTAGAAATGGTAATTCATTAATTGGATATCACGACATTGGATATTACACTGAAATATGGACATGATGGACAGTTTGCAGTTCATTAAATCTTCTAACATTCGTCCATATGTAAGAAATATGGTATATGACACTGAACTTGTGCAAACAAACAAATATAGATTGTCAAAACTACATGTTTTCCCACCTACTATGTATGAATTTAAGACATGTTAACCGATTCTCGGGGAATTGGCGAATATGATCGTTAATGATTTGATCAATCACAGATACACTTTTATCACCAATGTGCATGTTTTATTATTGAATGCTCAGAGTAAATATGAGGGTGGTTGGGCAGCCAAGTGGTTTAAGCATTTGCTCGTCATGACGAAAACCCGGGGTCGATACCCGACATGGGTACAATGTGTGAAGCCCATTTCTGGTGTCCCTCGCGGTGATATTGCTGGAATGTTGCTAAAAGTGGCGTAAAACCATACTCATTCACTCAGAGTAAATATCTGATATTGAGATATTAAAAAATACACGAAAGAACGCTGTGAATGGTGAATAAATATAATGACAAAAGTAGTGATAGTCGTGATGAACCATATCTTCAGAGGTCAATTCAGTCATTTGGCTTTGCCTAAAATGACTGCAGGTGATATCACAGAACAACAAATTTCCCACAAAATTTAAAAGTGTGAAATTGTGTGTACATAATGTATTTGTTATTTTCATTCCACTTCAAAGTGAGGGTTGAAGAAGAGGGGCAAACATGACCATGTGACATCTAGTGGGTGAGTCATATCAGCGCACACAGCCGGTACCAGTAAATTAGAATGGGAAAGTCAGAATGTTGGTTCCTGTGTCATGGTGATGAGGAAGAATAAAATATTGCGGAGTTTTTTTGTAAAGCAATGTTAAGTTGAAATTCATATTGTAAATTGATTTCAAAGTTTGAATTTCTTACTTTATGTTTTCGTTCCGACATACAAGAAATTATGTTGGCCCCTGCACAATACAGGGCCGTTGATTCAGTTCCTACTTATCAGGTGACGTCACTCTAATGCATCGGAAATATACGGACGAGGTCAGTTTATATCGAGGACTCTTTACCTTTCGGTACAAAGCAGAATTCTATTTTTCAAAACATCACGATTATAAAGTTTTAGTACATTAATCCCTGGATACATTGACAATGTTGTCTTCTTAACTGTTCGAAAGGAGAATGACGGGAAGTATGTTAGGAACCGCAGACTGAATTTTTCTAAAGCATTAAGACCTTTGCTTATGTAATATAATCCAATAACTGCAGTTTTCGTGAAAGATTGAAGATTATGTGTCAAAACCCTTCACCCAAACCGACCAAACAGATATTTCATGAGTCACTTTACGTCAACTCACATGGAACAGAATATAATCATTAAATTACTAATCACTGTTATTACCCGGTAGTTTTCACTGCAATGTCATATATCAGACAGTTTACATAAGTTTTATATATATATCCTCCAAAGAAACACTAAGAAGGAGGCACATAGATATCACTTGACTGTCTTTCCACATTTGTCAACTTTTGACAAGCTGCAGTGTGAGCATGACCACAAGAATGATTGTCAATAATTCTACACAGTTTATATCAGGTTTGACTCTTGACTTTGAGAAACTGAAGAGGACAAAATAATAATTTCTCTCATCTCATTTTGGTCTGTTTCAGAATATTATTTAAAGAGCCTGCAGCATATATGAAACACAGTTTCTCCATTATGTGTTATCTTGGATCTCACAGTGAGTGACTTTTGTATTGGGCCAATTTGGACAGTAGGCAGTGCACTATCATAAAGGAATGTGACAACTCCTTTTCAGTGAACGCGATAACATAAAGTTGATAATGGAAATACAAAGCCAACCACAGAATACTGGCTCTGTTGCTGAAATATGTGTGATCACGGACTTTGAGAAGGAAATGCTGGAAACAGGTCGTCTCAAGGAACACTGTGTTCCTGACACGCTGGAAACAGGTGATCTCAAGCAACACAAAGATCATGGTGGTCCATCAAAGCAGTGTTGTAAGTGTGGGGAAACATTAATTAAATCAGGTAACATGAAAAGGCACATGCTTTGTCACAGTGAAATCAAGCCCTATCAGTGTGCTGAATGTGGGAAAATATTTACACAATCATCGGATCTACAGAGACACATGAGGATTCACAGTGGAGTCAAGCCTCATCAATGTGTCAAATGTGGGAAAACATTCACACGATCAGATAATCTGCAGTCACACATGAGGATTCACACTGGAATCAAGCCTTATCAGTGCTTTGTGTGTGAGAAAACATTTACAGAATCAAGTACTCTGCAGAGACACATGAGGATTCACAGTGGAGTCAAGCCTTATCAGTGTGTCGAATGTGGGAAAAGATATCAACGCTCATCGGATCTACAGAGACACATGAGGATTCACAGTGGAGTCAAGCCTCATCAGTGTGTTGAGTGTGGGAAAACATTTACCGAATCAGGTAGCCTACAGACACACATGGTGATTCACAGTGCAGTCAAGCCTCATCAGTGCATTGTGTGTGAGAAGACATTCACAGAATCATGTACTCTACAGACACACATGAGTATTCACAGCAGAATCAAGCCTCATCAGTGTGTTGAATGTGGGAAAAGATTTAAACGTTCAGGTCATCTGCAGAAACACTTGAGGATTCACAGTGGAGTCAAGCCTTATCAGTGCATTGTGTGTGAGAAAACATTTACACAATCAGATACTCTACAGACACACATGAGGATTCACACTGGAGTCAAGCCTTATCAGTGTGTTGAATGTGAGAAAACATATACACGCTCATCGTATCTGAAGACACATATGAGGATTCACAGTAGAGTCCAGCCGTATCAGTGTGTTGCGTGTGGGAAAACATTTAGACGACCAGGTAATCTGCAGAAACACATGAGGATTCACAGGGGAATCAAGCCTTATCAATGCAATGTATGTGGGAAAACATTTACACAGTCATATAGCCTGAAGTCACACATGAGTAGTCACAGTGGAATCAGGCCTCATCAGTGCATTGTGTGTGAGAAGTCATTTACTCTGTCAGGTACTCTGCAGAGACACATGATGATTCACAGTGGAAAGAAGCCTCATCAGTGCACAGTCTGTAAGAAAACCTTTACACTATCAGGAACTCTGCAGTCACACATGAGGATCCACAGTGGAATCAAGCCGTATCAGTGTGTTGCATGTGGGAAAGCATTTACACAATCAGGCCACCTGCAGAAACACATGAGGATTCACAGTGGAATCAAGCCTTTATCAATGTGAATGTGGGAATGGATTTACACAATCAAGTAATCTGAAGGCACACATGAGGTTGCATATTAGGGTCAAGTCTTATTCTGTGTGTTGAATGTGGGAAAGGAATTCACACATGATGATTTACAGTGAGCACAATTGAATGAATTGTGTGGATTGTAATCTCTTTTGTGAACGGGAATGCATTAGAACTAGAAATGATAAATCAATCGATGTGTTATTGGTTAATCCTTTAATCCAAAAGCATGGGCTTCTGACACCTAGAGGTTGGTGTATCTCATCTGCTCTTCATAACTTCAGAAATGGTGAGGTCAAGATTGTCTTCCTCCACATATATACAATATATCAGCAACTGAGGTTGTATGCTAATCCATCACCAAGACATTTTTCAACAAGTTAAACTATTATTATTCAAAATCTTTCATGGTTTGCATGTGGGCAAAAGTTGTGAAAGTACATCAATCTATGTTAGGAATGTTATTTATCGGCAAGTATTTGGGGCCTTAACCTCCTCTAATTGGACGACGATGTCAGTGGGAGATACCATTTACTAAAATTGGACCAGACTTTCTGGTATTCCATTTTCGTGATTTTATTTTCATATTGACGTTTGCTAGTTGAATTGTCAATGCAAGAGACTTCAACTTTCATTTGTGAGCTTTTCGTGATATTCATGCTTGCATGGGAACATTCTGAAGTTGTATAACATTTATGATATGCAATTTAGTTGCCTGAAAAAAGGGCCAATTCTGTATTCTATGAACTGAAATTTATTCTGTGGCGTTGACTTTTTGAATTATCTGTTTCTGATTTTTTCTGAATAAAATATTGTTTCAATCAATATGAATCGTTAGTAGAATGATGAACAACATGCCAAGCCTGAAAAATAAGGGCCAATTCTGGTTTAGATTCTATGACCTGAACTTTTTTTCTTCGGCATTGACGTTTCGAATTTCATGTAACTAATTCTTCCTGAATAAAATATTGTATAAATCAATATGAAATGACTTTTTATGAATGTTTACTGTAGATATATTGAACTTGGTATCACATTAATAATAATAATAATCATAATCATAATCATGATAATCATGTTAATAATAATAATAATAATAATACGAAAATGAGGTGTAAGTGGACATCAAAGGGTGCAATAGGACTCCTTGTCAGCCTGATGCATATGGTCTTGATAGGTAGAATGATGGACAAGATGCAAGAGAGATATATTGCTAGGTGAAGCAGATGAACCACCAAATCTCCGTCTAAAAGATTAAGCATAATCTCTAACTCAAGCCTTTACAAAAGCAGAGACTTTCTTTCTATTCACGGAAAGTATTTGAGACAAATGGAACTAATACCATGTGGATTCTCAAAAACTCAAATGATTGGTTGATTTCTTGTAATCTGAGAATAGACTCATTAAATTGTGTCAAAATATATGATTTTTCACTTAGTACATCAATTTCCCACACCACAAACTTGAGAAAAAATGTCATTTCTTTAACTGTGACCAACTCCCTGACCTAGTGGATAGAGCGTCTGCCCGGAGTGCAGAAGGTCGGTGGTTCGATCCCCGGCCACATCATACCAAAAGGCGTAAAAAGATGGTATTTGTTGTTACCCTGTCTGTTGTTACTCTGTGCATCATAGTTTGCTTGTATTCAATTTATTTGACACATGTCTGAAATTGCAACTACCGAAAATTAGATCTTTCTCTCCTCCAACAAAACCAGTTTTGCTAAATACGTAAGTTAGAAGGTGTAAAGTAATAGAAATAGGTGTAATGCAATGGGATCTATGAATTGAGTTACAGCAAATAGACCGACCCCCTGGCGCTGTTGAAGCGAAGGGCAGACTTGCTGTTGAACTGGGGCGTCACAACAACATCCCATATAATGAACGTGTCTGCACTTTCTGTTTTTCGAAGGGACATAACCACGCTGAAGATGGATTCCATGTTCTTATGATTTGTGACCAGTATTCTAGAGCAAGAAGAAACTCCCTTTCCCAAGCGTCTCGTTACCCCTCCCTCTATTGAGAATCTTATAAGACTTATGTCAGCAGGAAAACAAACAAATTATAAAAAGCTTAGGTTATATTTCTCTTCCAAGTCATGAACATTCGAACGTAAACACAGTGTTGAACGGTAAATCATTATTAAATCTACCCAGCATACAAATATATATATATAGTGTATTTCCTTTGTATTATGGGCCGGTGGCCTGAAGTACCGAATAAATTCATCTGTCTGTCTGTCTGCAAGGTACTAGTTTGTTAAAAATAGCGACATCAGCGCCCCCATCTGAGACTGTTGTCGCAAAGCCGAGTGGTCGTACGCAAAGGCGCAACGCCCAGTGTAAGTACTAGAAAAATATCTCTATTTATCCGTGATGATGGTGGAATGATAGGGTCTAGCTCATTGGCTCTGATATTTGGCCTCTGGATTTTGCATTATTGTGTTCTCTGGCGCTGCCGATTTATATTTGCAACACAACCATGTCTATTCTTTTTTGACAGGATGATAAAGGAGCCTTTGCCCTTTATGTTACAGTAGTCATGGAACGGTAGCTGAAGCCCTTCAAGGAGATTATAACAAATCATACTATTTGCATATTATATCATGCAAGATATAACCAATTTGTTGAATGTGGAAACACCTTACAATATCAGATGTTAACTATGTTATGAGGAACATCAGGTGAATGAATGTTTGGATGCAGAGAACATGTACACACGTAAAAGCAAGAGTAAAAAGACCACAAAGGTGGAAACAATGGAAGCCAACAGTTGATATCGCTGATTGGTAATTAACAATGGACAAATGGAACATAGAGTGATGATTAGCATTGACGGTAACCAACAATGGATGAATAGAAGCCAGTTGTATAAATTAGCCAAGATAGGGGGAATGTGATAAATAGAGGGGTGGTACAGAACAATTAAATCGATAAGTGGAAGCATTATCAGATCACGATTTATGGCTTTCCACAAATGAAGAAAAAACATTTTCCACTATTACGTGAAAAGACGACAATGAGGTAGTAAACACGCACAGAGAAAAGGGACATAACTCCGCGACGCTTTCAAGTAATCCATTGTAACTCAATTAACTTGGTGAGAACTTGCCGTGGATAGTATATTGTCAGAGTGTTTTGTTCACGAAGAACCAAACTGTTCTAACACAAATATCAACATTGAAGTCGTGTATGTTTGGTATTGTCATAGTGCAAATATTAATAATAATTCATATCCAAATAAAATAAATATAATATTCAAGAGTTCACACATGTACCTTTGCAGTCAATCTTCGGATGTCTCACAAAAAACAACTCACATCAGTTGTAAAAACATGTCGCCAGGCATAATTTAGTAGATGCATGCCTGTTTACATGACAGTCCCTACCAGACAAACAAACACGCCAACCAATAACGATAATCCCCCCTCAAAGTGCCAGCTTCTGTTTTCAATAACCATAATCCGATAGATAACCTGTATTGTATCAACCAGGAACTAAAGGTGATAATAAATGGAATTATTGTCTTCGGAAAATAACCAATAAGCGATTGCTGTGCGTCCTTCCACTATATAAGTAGGTGCAGTTCGTGTGCCAAGTCACACTGCATCGGAGTACATTTTGGAACGCTAGCAACTCTGATATCATCATTCATCGATTCTATCTGAAGGTAAGACATTTTCATGTGTTCTTTCAAGTTGATTTCTCTTTGTAAATATTGTATACTTTCAACTACGTGCGTAGGTTTATTGTGCAGTTATATTGTTCAATGTATTTTGAATATTCTATAACGTTTTATGAGTGTTTTGAACATCAAATTGATGCGCACTGTTCAAACCTTATGTTTCACTTAAGTATGTTGTGTAGATCTTCGGTTACCTAATTCCTAATCAATATTTGGTGACGGTTTGATAAATGAGAAATATAGTAACAACAACGTAAAATATGTCATGTCGTGAATGAGCATTGGACTTAATATAGGCACCAGTAATGCTGGACTCCGTTAACAGTCATCATGCAAACTGCTGAATGCAAACTCTCATAAACAAGCTCAACATTAAATAACTAAAGGCACATGTATTAATAGAACTACGGTGAATCATTTCAAGCTGACGGTAGCATTGAGAATCACATGTATTAATTCGGAGACTGGTTAATTTTAACATTTTGTTTTTAAAGAACAAATTCTAGTCTGATTTTGATTTATTATGAACATCTTTTTTTACTATGAATAGTTGTGTTCTGAAATCAAGATGCTTTATGATAATCATCTGTAATAATGTAATTCATCAATATATATTAATTATCCTCTATTCATTAATTCAATGCAAAGTTACCGTGAGATTACGCTACTGCGACATTGGAATGTCGATTAAAATATATCTCACCCAATTTTCGTTCATAATTTGAAAACTAGTCACAATTGACACTTTTTCGACACAAAATGAAATGACTGTGTTTCCCTTGACATATTTTATTAGAAATAACTGTAATGCAAAGGAATCTATGAACCAAGTGACAGCAAAATAGACTGGTTCTCCTGGTGCTGTTGAGGCGAAGGGCAGGGTACTAGTTTGTTACAAAATAGAGACCCAGAGGAAATGCATTCATTTGATGAAGGAAAGTGACAACTCCTTTATGTTTTCAGTGAACACGATAACACGAAGTTAAAAATGGAAGCACAAAGCCAACCACAGAATACTGGCTCTGTTACTGAAACACGTGTGATCACCGTCTGTGAGAGTGCATTGCTGGAAACAGGTCGTCTCAAGAAACACTGTGTTTCTGACACGCTGGAAACAGGTGATCTCAAGCAACACAAAGATCGTGGTGGTCCTTCAAAGCGATCACAGTGTGGAAAGTGTGGGGCAACATTTATAAAAACAGGTGCCATGAAAAGGCACATGCTTTGTCACAAAAAAGTCAAGCTTCACAAGTGTGATGAATGTGGGAAAGGATTTACTCAATCATGCAGCCTGAAGGCACACATGAGGATTCACAGTGGAATCAAGCCGTATCAGTGTGTTGAATGTGGGAAATTATTTACACGACCAAGTGATTTGCGGAAACACATGAGGATTCACACTGGAATCAAGCCTTTTGAGTGCAATGTATGTGAGAAAACATTTACAGTATCATGTACTCTACAGACACACATGAGGATTCACACTGGAATCAAGCCCTATCAGTGTGGCGAATGTGGGAAAACATTTACACATTCATGCAGCCTGAAGTCACACATGGATAGTCACAGTGAAATCAAGCCTTATCAGTGCAATGTGTGTGAAAAAACATTTTCACTATCAAGTTCTCTGAAGAAACACATGCGAATTCACAGTGGAATCAAACCTTATCAGTGCAATGTATGTGAGAAAACATTTAGACGATCAGATACCCTGCAGAGACACATGCGAATTCACACTGGAATCAAGCCATATCAGTGTGTTGAATGTGGGAAAAGATTTACACAATCAGGTGGCTTGCAGACCCACATGGGGATTCACAGTGGAATCAAGCCATTTCAGTGTGTTGAATGTGGGAAAGGGTTTACACAGGCAGGTAGCCTGAAGTCACACATGAGGATTCACAGTGAAATCAGTTGATTGAATTGTGTGGATTGTAATCTCATTAAGTGTGCATAACAACTGATAAATGATAAATCAACCGACGTGTTATCTGGTAATCCTTTCATCCAAGCATTGGCTACTGACACCTAGAGATTGGTGTATTCCATCTGCTCTACATAACTACAGATATAGTGGGGTCAAGATTGGACTTTCTCCATTTATATACAAATTATTATTATTTTAAAATAAATATCTTCAAGAAGGTTTGCTAATCCATCATCAAGACACACATTATTTTTATTCAAAATCTTTCATGGTCACAGCATGGGAAAAAGTTTTGAAAGTACACCAATCTTATGTTAAGTGTGTTATTTATCGGCAAGCATTTGGGGCCTTTAACCTTTACGACCACGATG